CCAGGCTGCCCACCACCACCACCTCCTCATAGTCCTCGCTGATCCAGATGGGGATGGGGGTGCCCCAGAAGCGGGACCGCGAGATGGCCTGCAGGCGTGGAAGGGCAGGCAGGCACGAAGAGGGAAGCACAGCGGCATCGGCCGGCAAGCGGCGTGCGCACCCAGCCGTGGCGAGGCAAGGTGGGAGAAGCCAGCGCCATCTCCCCACGCCCCGGCGCGCCGCGCAGCCACCCAGCCCTTGCCCAGGCAACACCACGCTGCCGAGCGCAGCGCCAGGGCACACCCGGGAGGCGGTCGCCTCGGCCGCAGCTCACCCAGTCCCGCGCGTTCTCCAGCCAGTTGTGGAACCGCTTCTCCTGAACGTAGCTGGGCACCCAGCGCGTCTTCTCGTTGTTGGCCAGCAGCTGCAGAGGGAGGGGGCGGCAGGGAGGGAGCGTGCGGTGAGGTGCGGTACAATGGATGGGCCAAGAGGAGGATCGCTCGCGGGCTGCGCAGACGGAGCAGGAGCAGCGCGCCCAGGGGCCTGCGCCGCAAAGCCTGCCCGCCGACCAGCTGCCAGCTATTATAAACGCCCCGCTGCCGCGTGCAGGTGCCAGGTCAGTGCCAGGTCGGCGCCAGGTCGGCGCCAGGCTGGCGCCGCCTACGCGCGCCCCACCTGCGGCTTGATCTCCTCCACCCGCACAAACCAGGAGGGCACGGCCTTGTAGATGAGCGGGGTGTCTGAGCGCCAGCAGAAGGGGTAGGAGTGCATGATGGAGCCCTGGTCCACCAGCCGCCCCGCCGCCTTCAGCGCGCGGATGATCTCCCTGTCCGCCTCCTGCGGCAGGCATGGAGGGAGCAGTAAGGTTGTGGTTTTGGCATGCAGGGGTGGCAAGGCAGCACAGGGGAGTGAGGGCCGCGGGATGCGAACAGGCCACAGTGGCAGGGGAGGCGTGGCGCAGGCGTAGACGCAGGCAGGGCATGCCGGGGGATGGAGCAGCCGTGCAGGAGCGGCGGCTGGAGCTAGGAGGGCGCCAGGCACCGCCAGCTCAGCATCGCCAGCTCAGCATTGCACGCCACCCTGCCGCACCTTGACATACATGCCCTTGAAGTCAGCCACCACCTCTGTGAACCGCCCATCGTCGTCCACCGGGCACGGCACGCCCTCCCCCTTGGCAATCACGCCGTGGGCCAGGCACACCCGGTAGTCGTCCTCGCCTGGGGCAGGTGGCAGGTGGAGGAGGGGAGGCAAGGGTCAGGGGACGCAGGGCAGGGAAGGACGGAGGGAGGAAGAGAAGGAAGGCGTCAGGAAGCTGAGGCAGGCAGGGGTTAGGCGCGGAGCCACCCGGCAGCCAGCGCCGCCCCTGGGCAAGCAGAGTCGTCCCGCCGCCAGGCAGGTGAAATTCATTTCCTTTCCTAAGTAAAAAAGAAAAACTGGTGCTGCGCCCTCACCAAAGGCGGGCGCCTGGTGCACGATGCCCACGCCGCTGTCTGCGGTGACATACGGGTCTGCCACAACCTGGAAGGCGCCCTGCTGCTTGAGATTGGCAAAGTAGGGGAAGAGGGGCTGGTAGGTGCGCCCCTTGAGCTCCGCGCCCTTGAGCCTGGCGATGATCTGCACGTGGTGGATGGGCGGGCGGCGGGAGAGAGGGGACGGGAGGTGAGCAAGGAGGTGGGGAGGGAGGTGGGGAGGAGGGAGAGTTGGATGGCAGGGCTCAGCTTGGGGGACGGGCTGACAAGTTCGAGTGAGGAGAGGGGCAGGGCAGCGGGGGGCTGCTTTCAGGCCGCAGTGCCCCAGCAGCTAGCGAGCGGGTGGGGACCGCCGCTCACATCACCCCCTGCTGCCCGCCCCGCCCCTCCTCCAACCCGCCCATGCGCCCCTCCACCCAGCCCACCTCGAACCCTTTTGGCGCCGGCCCATCCTCGGCCCCCTTCTTGCCCTTCTTGGCCTTGGGCACAGCGCCCGGGATCTCCCCCAGCCGCGACTCCATCACAACATACACCTTGCCCGTGGCTGCGGTGGGGGAAAGAGCCGGCGCGCGCGCGGGAGGGCGTGTCGGGTTGGCGGCAGGGGGAGAGCCGCGGCTTCCGGCTGGCCGCAGCGTGGCAGCTGCAGTCGCGGCAAGCCAGCAGCAGGTGGTCCCAGCCCAACGGGTGCCCACCCCACCCACCCACCCGGGTCCCGAGCCTTGACGTAATCAAACTCGGCATTCACGCAGAGCGCCAGGTTGGAGGGGAGGGTCCAGGGGGTGGTGGTCCACGCCACCAGGCTGGCCCCATCCTCATCGCCGTCCAGAGGAAAGGAGACGATGACGGCTGGGTCTGCGGCAGCGGCAGCGGCGGCAGCAGTGGCGGCGGCAAGAGCGGGTGGGGTGAGGGCAGTGCGCGCGGGCCGGGCATCTGTGATGCTGGGGGGCAAGGCCGCCGCCGCTGCCTGGGCTGGCTGCCGCTGGCAAAAAGGCCAAGAGCGGCAGTTGCTGCTGGGTGGCAGGGAGGCGGGCAGGCACGTGAGGGGAGAGGAGGCAGGCTGTCTGTCTGGCAGGGGGGTCATGGAGGGGCCCACCCGACACATCTTTGTAGTTCTGCCCTGCCTCAAAGTTGGACAGCGGGGTGGAGCAGCCGGTGGAGTAGGGCATGACCTGTGGGGCAGAAGGAGCGGAGGAGGTGCGCTGGCATGAGCCACTGGCGTTGCCCCTGGACGGCGGCAGCGGCGGCGGCAGCGGTGGAGGGGTATATGGATGCACAGGGCGCGGCGAGGCGAGGCTGCTCAGTACATATGATAGCGTTGGTACGTTCAGCGGGCGCGGTCGCCCTCGCACAAGAGGTGTCAGAATTGTTCGGCTGTGTTCCTCATGGCAGCCATGCCAGCGCGGTGCAATCGGCTCAAGGTCAAGCAGCCGCGCCCCTGGCACCCAGCCTGCCACTCTCCCACCCATCGAAAGAACTGACAGCTAGCCGGCAGGCAGGCCGGCAGGCAGAGGCCGGCAGGCAAAGAATTGCGATTCACCCCTTGCAGCAAGCAGCAGTAACGGTGGCCTGCGCTGCCTGCGCTGCACCAGCGGCCCGGCTGCTTGCCTTGAATCCGCGGTACACCAGCCCCTTGTCGAACAGCTGCTTGAACACCCACCACACCGACTCCATGAAGGTTGGGTCCAGGGTCTTGTAGTCGTTCTGCGGGGATCAGGGGCAGGGGCAGGGGAGGGAGCTTCGGGACCAGGCTCTCGGAGAGGTTCCAAGAAAGCAGGCGACAGGAGGGCAGGAGGAGGGGGAGGGCGGTGAGAACTGACGTGTCGGCAGCCTGCTCTGACGGCCAAAGGTCCCGGCTGCCCTCCACCTCGTGCCTCCACCTCACACTCAACCTCCCCACCACGGACATCCACGCCCGCCGCCGGTCCCGCCGCCGACACCACCCGCCACCCGGCCCCACCCCATGCCGCCTCCCCGTCCCCTGCCGCACCTCAAAGTCGATCCAGCGCCCCAGGCGGTGCACAATGTCCTCCCACTCGCGCGAGTAGCGCATCACGATGGAGCGGCACTCCTCGTTGTACTTTCCAATGCCCATGGCCATCACCTCATCACGGGACTTGATGTCTGCACGCATGTGTGTGTGTGTGTGTGTGTGAGGTGGGCGATGAGCAGCATGATTGACAGGGGAAGAGGAGCACGTTGAGGCTGCTGCTGCAATGCTGTTGGGGGGGGGCCACATGGCCGGGATGCAGGTGTGAATTCTGGCGCAACTTGGCGCTGCCCGCGGCTTGCCGCATGCTGAGCGCGAGGCCGGCCGGCGCCGCCACTCACTGAGCTTCTTGTCGATCTCGTACTCCACCGGCAGGCCGTGGCAGTCCCAGCCGAAGCGGCGGGTGACGTGGTAGCCGGTCTGGCTGGCATAGCGCGTCACAATGTCCTGCAGCGGGCGGCAGTGTGGGTGGCGCCGCGGTTGGCGGAACGAGCGGCAAGAGGTGCACATGCAGATGGCAAGCAACGGCCATCTGCCAGCTGCCTGCTGGCGTACTGAGTTGCAAAGCTGCTACTTTGCTGGCGCATGGCAAGGGCCTGCCGCCAACCGCGACTATGCCTGCCGCCGCATGGCGGCGGCGGCGGCATGCATGTTGCACCAGGCGGTGGGCAGGCGCCTTGAGCGCAGCGGTGGGCCCGATGGGATCGATGGGAGTGATGAGGGACGCAGACCTTGAGGGTGCCGGCCAGGAGATGGCCATAGTGGGGAAGGCCGGTTGCGAACGGCGGGCCATCGTAGAACGAGTACTCTGGCTTGCCCTCTGTCAATTTCAGCTGAGTCTTGAAGGCATCAATCTCCTGCCACCGCTTGAGGATGGACTCCTCCTCCGTGGGGAAGTGATAGTCCTTGCCCTCCTTCACTTCCTCCATTGCGCCAATCGGCAATAGACGGCAATGCCCCGATAGAGTGTTTGCCATCAGATGGGCTTCCTGCTGCGAGTCACAGCATGCTCGGGACTCGGTTGACATTCAGAAGCCAGCCAGCTCCCCGATTGTTGCATCCAGAGGCTGGCCCACCTGCCATCGTCGCTCCTGTGGGCCGCATGGCACCCGGCACCAGCAGCGTGGACACCAGCGTTTTGAAGAAGGCTCGTGAACAGTGCTGGCAGGTGGGCCTCTCCCGGGTGCCTGGGTGTGCGCCGCCGGGCGCCTGGCTGCCCGCAGTGGCATGGCGTCTGCGCGATCGTCCGCCCAGCCGCCCTGCACGCCCCTGCTCCCCGCCCTTGCAGGCGCGTGACGCATTCTACGCGTGTGTGGAGGCGGCGGGTGTGACCTACACCGTAGACGCCCCCATCCCTGCCCAGTGCTCTGCGACGCGGGCGGCGTACACGTCGGCCTGCAAGGCCTCCTGGGTGAAGCACTTTGACCTGCTGCAGGTGTGCGTCGGCTTCTGGGAGCTTCTTGCCACCTGCTGCGTGCTAAGACTGCTCAGCGGCAGCTAGCACTTCCTGTTGCTGCCCGTGCACCTCCCGCGCCGCCGCCAGCTGCCGCCGTCGAGCCGCAGCCTTCCTCCCACTCTGCCGCTGTCGGCCCTTCCTCCGCCTGCAGGACAAGCGCCTGCGCTACCTCCAGACCCTGCGCGCCAACATCGCCAAACAGACGCAGACGGGCACAGGCAGTCAGCAGGGCAAGGCGGCCGCATAGCGTGGCACCTGAGCAGCAGGCAGCAGCGGCAGGATGAGCGGCAGGTATGATGACAGGCGGCGGGACGACCGGGACCGAGATCGGGACCGCGACTACCGCAGGCCTGACGATAGGGATGACAGGCGGCGGGGCTTTGACGATCGGGGTGGCCGCCGCGGCGGCGACCGCGAGCGAGAGCGGGGGCGGGATCGGGAGGGGGACGATAGGCGGCGCCGCGGCAGCCGCAGCCGCAGCAGGGACCCACGCGGGGACCCACGGGACCGCAAGCGCAGCCGCAGCAGGGAGCAGGAGCGGGTGCGGCGGCACAGCAGGGACCGCAGCCGGGACGGCCGCCGCGAGCGCAGCCGGGAGCGGCGCAGGAGGTGCGGCTTCTTGGATGGTTGGCTGCCCTGCGAGGGCTGTTTGATAGCGCCCGCTGGGTGCATGTTGTGTTGCTGGCATCCTGGTGTCTGCCCTCCTGCGTTGCCCTGCCTCGCCCTGTCTTGCCTCCTGCTGTTCAGCACGTTGCTGTCTGGTCTGATCCTTGGTCCTGACCTCTCCACCGCTCCTGCCTTCCTGCCGTGCAGCAGCCGCTCCCTGTCCCCCTCGCAGCAGCGCGACAGCAAGCGGCGGCGCAGCGACGCGGGCGGCGCCCCTGAGCCTCCGACCGAGGGCGCCGCGCCGCCGCCGCCTCCGCAGCCCATGGACGCAGAGGGAGGTGGCGAGGCAGCGGCGATGGATGGTGGAGGCGAGGGGCAGGCAGGGGAGGATGGGGAGGCTGTCGCCCTGGAGCTGGATGCAGAGCTGACTCCGGAGGAAATCATGATGATGCAGCAGATGGGCATCCCCTTTGTGAGTGCCCGCTGCTGGCCGGCTGGAAAGCGGCTTCGGGTCTGCTTTGCTGCGTGCAGCGGCAGAGACAGTCCCCTGGCTTGCCCTGCCTGCCAGGTCGCCCCGCCCCGCCATCCCCAAGCCTGGCCCGCGCGCTGCCCCGGCCCGCGGCTTGCAGGGCTTTGACACCACCCAGGGCAAGAAGCACGCGGATGCGGGGGCGGTGAAGGTGAAGACGACCCGCGGCGCGCGGCAGTACATGAACCGCAGGGTGCGGCCCCGCGCTGAGCCTGCTTCTCCCATGCCTGCTGGCCTGCGCTGCGCTGCGCTGCTTCTCTCTGCGCTGCTTGCAAACGTGCACCATGCTGCCCTGCTCCGCACGTGCCTGCGGTTGCGCTGTACTGCGCGCTTGTGCTGCCGCTGTGGTCAAGTGCAGTTGCGGCACATGCAGCACATGCTCGCTGCCCAGGTGCCTCATCTTCTGACGCGCATGCCTTGTGCTGCGCGCCTGCTCACCACCGTGTGCAGGGCGGCTTCAACCGTGAGCTGGATGGCGAGGCCACCGGCGAGAAGGTCAGGATCGAGTGGCTGCGCAGCTAGCGGCGCGCGGTGGCGCCAGAGCCTGCAGCTGTGATTGTGAACCTTCGCAGGCGCCTCCTCCAGGTTGCAGCTGTTATGCATTGCCTGATGTAGCAGAGGTTGTAAGCAATGTGCATACAGCAAGGCAATCGAGATGGCCATGCTTTCCAAATATGATGGCGGCAGCTTCTCCGCGGCTCTCAAGATGCTTGCCCAAATATGCTTGCTCTCCCGCTCGTCAGATCTTTCCCTCTTTCTGACTGCACTCCCTGCAAAGGAAGTCGACAGTGCTCCTCAACCTCGGACAGCAGGGCCTCCTCGACCAGCAGCTGCCTCCTTGGACAGCAGCAGTCTCGTCACAGCCCTAGGCGTTTATCTCTTGATTCGTCAAGATGCAGGGTGCCGAGGTCACCGAGATGGTATGGTTTGCCTCCTGCCGCCCGCGCGCGCCGCCGCTCCCGCCGGTGGCGCCAGCACCTGCCGCTCGGTGCGGCATTCAGCCGCAACGCCTGGGTGGGCTGCCCTGCAGGTCATCTTCATTTGCGTGATGGTGCTGTGGGCACTCTACCTGGTGGCCTACTTCAACACCACCGTCTGGGCCACCAAGCTGCGCTCCCTGACCAGCAAGCGGCACTGGGTGGTGCGCGGCATGTGGCACACCGCCATGAACACCCGCGAGACATGGGCAAGGGTGGGTGTGCCCGCCGTGTATAGGCAGCCACTCAAGGCATGCATTTTTGTGGCGAGACAAGCGCTACCGATTATGTGCCTGTCAGACCGCCGGCGCAGGACCTGATGGGCAAAGCCGACGACGCCCGCGGAGCGGCGCTGCTCGCCGTGCAGCAGGTGAGGCGCGCTGCACGCTGGCTCTGACAAGTTGCCCACATGGCATGCCCTGAACAGCCGCGGTGGATGAGGGGGCATCGGTGCATGCAATGTAAGCTGCCGTGCACCCAACCAACCACTGGCAGCCCTGCCGCCTGCCGCTGCCCAGATGCGCAACATCATCGTCTCCTGCACCCTGCTGGTGATGGGCATGGCCCAGGCGAGCATGCCGCAGCGCTGCCTGTCTCCCTCTGCTGTTGCCTGTGCCAGCCTGCTGCTCCCTTCCAGGCGCAGTCTTTCAGCCCTGGTGCCCCAGTATGAAGCCACGCACTTGCGCTGCCTGGGCCGCCGCCGCAGATCATGGGGCGGCTGGTGCAGATCATGACCAGCGACAGCAACCTGGCCACCATCGACAGGCTGGTCCGCAAGGACCCAATGACAGGCAGGCAGCTGCACCCGGTGCCCTGCACCCGCTCGCTGCTGGAACAGGCAGCCTGCAAAGAAGCCTGCCTCGCCGTGCCCCGAGAAGGCAACATCCCGCTCAGGCTGGCGCGCCCCGCCCGCACCCCCTGCCTGCAGGCCCCGCCTCCTGGACTGACCCGTACGTGCGGGTGGCGGTGCCCTTTGGTGCCACCCTCGTCTCCCTGCTCTGCTTCGGCCAGGCGGTGCGGCTGGCTGTGCACATCGGCTTCAACGTGAGAGTGCAGGGCATCTCCGTCAACCGCGCCACTGATACCCGCGACGGCGGCGGCGATGCGGGCAGCAGGCATGCGGGGGCGCGCCTTCCCCAAGGTGAGGCGCCCCACTTACAGACTGAAGGCAGCACTGCAGCTGACAGCTGGAACAGCAACCGTGCAGGTCGGCTTGAGTTGCGCCAGCTGCCTCCTCATCTGCTGTCGCTGCCTGCCGCACTGACACTGCTGGTTCTTGCCTGTGGCCCCATGGGTGCAGACGAGAGCCTGCTGCTGGGCCAGGAGGTGGTTGTGATGCTCCAGCGTTGCGAGCTGTACTTCACGCTGGTGAGCTGTGTGGCGGCGCCTCCAGCCCAGCCTGCGCCTGGTGAGGCACCGAGTGCCCTGCCGGCCCGGCACCATCACCGGGTGAATGTGTGTGCAGGGCCTGCGCTTCCTGTACCTCTTCATCGGCACCATCTTCTGGGTGAGGATGATGCGTGGCGGCAGCAGTGATGTGGCGACGTGGCCGGGAACAGCCATGCCCCCGCCACCCACCCGGTGCTTGCTGAAGCCACGCCACTGCTGATGACCGGACACACCGTGCCGTTTGTGTGCAGGTTCTGGGCACCACCGCGCTGCTGGTGTCGAGCCTGACGGTGCTCATCCTGCTGGCTTTCAGCGATGTGCTGGTGGTACCAACACAGAACGCCAAGCCCAGGCGCAAGGACAGCAGCACGCCGCCGCTGTGGGAGGCGTCCGCTGAGCTGGTGGCGCACCCGGTGGGTGGGCTGCCCTCCTGGCTGCGTTGTTACATGCCCCGTGTCGCGCATCGTGGTGTACTCCCGGACTTGGTGGCCTGCCGCAAGTGGGTAGCCCCCCTTCACCTCCCCTGCAAGCTGCAGGCTGGCGCCGGCCCAGCACACACGGTGTGAGTACTCACCCGGCTGCCGCCCCAGCGTGCTCATCCACAGAATGTTATGTGCTAATGGGGTAGGGCAGCACTCTAGCCTCCATCTGCATCTGCCTGCCTGCCTGCCTGGGCTGGCAAGGCGATGCCAGCGTACAGGCATTGGGTGCGCTGCGTTCTGGTCGGCGGCCCCCCATGCACCTACACCCCTCACCAGGCTCGGCCGTTCCATGCTTTTGTGTGCTTGGCCCTTTCAACTGTTTGGAGCATTTTGGCCTCTGTAAAGCCAATTTTGAAGCCAGGCTCCTCTGTTACAATTTGGCCAACTTGTCACGTGAGCCACACACTGCCAGCAGCAGCACACAGGCTGAATAAGGCGTTTGGTGGCCCTCAAACAGCACATTGGGGCGGGCAGCCGCCAGAGCCCTGGCCGGCCACGCTGGAATGGGGGCCTGCATCAGCCTTGCATGAGCCTTGCTGCCATTGGGTTTGAATGGCAGCCCAGGGTTCCCTGAGCAGCGACACGCAGCAAGGGCAGTGCTTTCTGCTCCTTCCTGCCCCTGTGCACGCTGCCAGCACCAGGTGCAAGAGACGGGGGAACTGCGGCATCGTTCGCATGATCCACCCAACCCACCCTGGCGAGAGTTAAAGGCAAGCTGTGGCATGGTGTCCCACCTGATTGGTTGCGGGAATTCCCGCAACCATTTCGAAATGCCATGAAGTCACGCCTGCCGCCCTGCTGCGCTTGCTGACGTCAGCGCCGCTGCCATGAAGCGAGGCGGCGGTGCGGCCATGCAGCCCCCCGGGGCAGCAGCTCCTGCCGCGTACATTCGACACAGCGGGCGTTACATCGGGGCGTGGTAATGCTGAGAAGCGCTGTGCCGCCGCAGACGGCCAGGCTCCCCAGCCCTCATTGCAGAGCTGGCGATATTACAAAAAAATACCTAGTTTTTCCGTTTACGGCAACTGTGGGCCCATTGGGATGCTACCATGATACCAGCAATTTTTTCTTTCTTGCCACTCAAGCACTCCAATCCCAGGGTTCAGCTGGCTGCCAAACCAGGCAGACAAAGATCTGGGCAACCTACTTCACGCACCACCTGGTGTGCTGCAGATGCAGCACGTGGCGCAGTACTGTTGCCAAAGCTTTGCCATCTGGATAATCACAGGACCGTGTGCCACGTGGCTTTGCCCCAAACGTTTGCTCGCCGCCTCGCTGGTTTCTGATTGACGGCCCGAGTTTACGCAGCAGCTCAATTTGACCAGGCCTGAAACCCTGCGGTGCCCGCCTCTGCCGAGCTGGGGCTCCACAACCCATCACGCTGAGAGCTTGGCTTGGCTGCCCGGCGATTGGGAAGCGTCAGCTTCGGCATCAGGTTCGCAGTTGTCACCAGCTGCGATCGACACAGACGCGTTTGACCAAAACGTGGCAGGATTGCCCTGCTCTCTGGCAGCCATCCGCGCCTTGCAAACCATCCCTCCAGCGTCAGAATCGCGAATATGAGCAGCAGTCGACGCGGTAGTGGCCAAGGGCTCGAAGGCTGCCGCCACCACGTGCACCGTGGTAAGCACTCTCGGGACAGTGTCGGTGGCTGTTTTGGCAGCTTTGCGTGCATGCGCAAGGGATGAGAAGGGCCCATGGCAGCCAGCAACACCCTTCACCACCGTGCTGGAGCAAATGCGCCTCTCCCGCCGCTTCCGCCGCCGCCTTGCAGGCGCCGGCCAAGTAGTGCAGCTCCCAGGCAGCCAGGCCAGCCTGAGGCGCAGCCTGCACCTCATGCGGCTGTTGGAGGGCTGCATGAGGTGTCCAGGCCACGCGCCAGACACGCTGAAGGCGTGCGCTGAAGCCACCGCCCGCGGCTGGCGCATCCGTTTCCCTCCCTGCTCCCACCCCCACGACTGCACCAGCATGCTGCACCTGTGGGCCCATTACTGCGCCAGCCACCGCGGCCAGCTGCAGCCCGCAGGAGCCTGTGGTTGCGGCTTTGTGAGGTGCGCCGCGGCCGGCACTGGCATGCGGTTGCTGTGCGCTGTGCCCGTAATGCCGCCGCCTCGTCCCCTCACTCCACACACCTGCCGACTCGCTGCCCAGCGCCACGCTTGCTGTGCAGGGACACCCATGCACTAGGCATTGCCACCTGTGCAGAGCTGGGGGAGGCTATCGAGCACTGGCACTCGTGCAGATCGCGTGCCAACTGCCGCCTGTGCCTGAAAATCCAGGGGTGAGTTCCGAACGAAGTCCAGTCTGGGCTGCTGTTCTCCGTGCTGGGTGGCAGATGATGTCTGCATGCTCCAAACTGGCTTGCTGCACACCTGTTCCAGCAAGTGGCTTGCGCGCACACGGAATGCAGGGTCCGGAGTGCGCTGGTCTGGCGCCGGCAGCAGCAAGCGGGGGCCTGCTCCTGCTCCGCCTGCTCACCGCCGCAGCAAGCTGCTGAGCAAACGTTGCCGCCACAGCATATGCCGCTTCCCTGGCAGCAGCCTGAGCAGCAGGGCCGCGCTTCGCCGCCAACAATGCCAGATGCAACGTGCCTGCCCACCTAAAACCTCCAACGCCAGATGCAGCAGCCAATTGCTTGCACAGCCGCGCAGCAGCCACACGCCCGTCTGCAGTAGTCCGCAGCGCAGAGCCCACCAGCTTCAAGTTGTGTAGACAAATGATTCAGGGGCAACAAACCCAATTTAACATGTGTTTCTATCCTCTGCCACTCTGCATTACTGCGTTTATAAATTGCTCATCATAGCTTGCTTCTCTGTGTGTCAGATGCTGCTTTCTTGTCTTGAACAATAGCGCACGCGCGCATCTACCGTCGGTAGTCTGATGAATCGGATAAAATCAATCAAGGAGCGAGGGAGGTGGCCGCGCAGGAAATAGGAGCGGGAGGCGGGAAACAGTGCTGGAGAAGACAAGTAGGCTTGGGGGAGACAAGTAGGCTGGGTGAGCCCGGGTCAAAGTTCATTTCTTGATGCTCCTGGCGAGCTGGCAGCTGCTGCCGCGTGCCGGCCTTCACTGCTGGCCAAGCCAGGCGGGGCGCCAAACACCACCAGCAGGCAGCAGGTCCCGACCAGCATGGTAGCATGGTAGCCAAAGTGCAGCAAGAACAGGGCAAGCGGGCGGCCCTCAAAGAAGTGGTGCCTGCGGTAAGTGGATGAGCACAAGGCAGGGAAGGTGGGTGTCCACATGTCCACACGGCGGCAGAGCAGCGGCACAGACAAGGGGCATCAAGCGGTAGCAGCAAGGCACACTCCTTTACTGACGGCAGCGGCAGCAGTTTACCTGGCATTCAAGCAGGTGTCTATGAGCAGCAGCAGTGCCGCCATCACCAGGCCCTCATGCCAGGTTTGCACCCCAAAGCGCAGCAACAGCCAATTGATGGCGCCTGTGAATGTGAGGCAGGCCACTATGGTGCCCATCAGCGACCGGAAGGGTCGGGCTGGCAGCTGCGAGCTGCATCCAGCAGAGCGGGGGGAGAGAGTTGCTGTTGGCAGTGCGAGTGGGGAGTGCAAACAGTGGCGGCGGCACCTTTGGGCAATCAGCGGCGGCGACCCTCGAAGTGGCGGACCTGTTAAACACCGGCGAGCGCGTGTTGACTAGCCGCATGTAAGTTTTCTTGAATGTCGTGAAGTACCAACACGTGGAAACTGCAGAGGGGTTGGGTGACTTGATGCTCGAGCCAACCCAACCTAGGCCGTGGGAACTGGACCTGTGGCGGCGGGTTGCTGCCACCCGCTGCCGTGCTGCTACCGGATTGCCACTCAGAGGAGCCATCCCGTCGCACCAGCATCCATTCTGGACACTGTGTGGCCTCACCTGTGAGCTGCAGGAGAACCACGGCAAGCGCGATGGGCCACTGCAAGAAGGGGAAGGGCTTGGCCACCAGGTTGGGTTTGCGGGCATTTGCCTGCTTTTGTTGCACCCATTACCGCTCAGTGCAGGCACTCACCACCCCGTGCAGCCCAGCGCCTTGGCTCATGCCGTCGATCGGCACTTGTGGGTCGGGGCCCAACCCAGTGCCCTGCAAGCCGCACCAGATTCTTGGGGATGATATCGAAAGGAGGGCAGCCAGCAGCTCCATGCATGCATGCGCAGGACCGTGCCACACACAGCGTGCTGTGCCGCCGCCCTCCCATCTGCCCGTTTGGAGGTGGAGCCTGTTTGTATTATGTGTTCAGCAGGTAACAAGGTGCGCGCTGAGAATCAGCCACACTGACAATGGGCAAGGTGACGCACAAACTGCTGCTGCCTCAGCAAAACGCTAGCTGCCGCCTTGCTCCATCGACGAGAGCAGCGCCGCCGTCTCGCTCTCCTCACCCCTGCGACGCAGAGAGCGGCAGCAGACCCGCATGCATGAACGAGCAGCTAGGGGCTGGCTGGAAGTGAATTGACGTTAAAGGCTGGAAGTGCAATGATGCTCTCCAGGGACAAGACAAACGGGTGCATGCATGCGGAGGCAAGCCATGCATCATGCATGCCACAGCAGAGCGGGCAGGCAGGCGCGCCTGAGGACGTATGGCGAGGCGGGCGCTGCGTGCGGCTGGCACGTCTCCACGCAGTTCCTCTTCCAGCCCTTGTCGAAGGGGTTGTAGAAGTCGCCATCGGCGCTATGCATGTACTTGTACCTGCGGCGGTACAGCAGGTGGTGTGCGATTCTCAAGAAAACACAGGGCAAGCGGGGAGAGAGGGCAGCGAAAAGGTGGCAAATGAGCAAGAATGATGAAGCATGACTGTACCTAGACATGAAAACAAGCTGAGCTGGGAAGCGCAGCTTGGGCCCCTCCCACCGCCCCTCCAGGGCTGCCCCAGGCATCCCGGCTCTGGCCCCGCACCTGTGCCAGTTGGCCAGCTCGTTTGTGGTGACGTTGCGGGCCACCTGGGAGGCCTGGGCGATGGCCAGCGCCGCCACCGAGATGAGCAGGAAGACGTCGCACACGAGGAAGAGCACCGGGCCCACCAGCTGCAAGTGCGTGCCGGGGTGCTGCAGGCGGGGGAGGGCGCAGGGGGTGGGGAAGGGTGAAGGATGGACGGCAGGCTGAGGGAGGCGGAATGAGGGCGTCAAGCATGGCAAGCTGGAACGCAGTGTCTAGCAACGGGCGACAGTTGTCGACCAAACGTTGCACGCCGGTGGCCCCTCTGTTGTTCGCTGGCTCCATCCCACACACGCCACCGACCAGCCCACCTGCTTGGCAGTGATGCTGACTGCCTCATGTATGCGCACCACACCCACGATGGTGGACAGCAGGAGGGCGCCCAGCTCCAGCCACAGGAAGGCGAGGAAGAGGTGGCGGTTGCCGCGCCCAATGGCGTTGCCCACCTGCAGCCGGGGGCCGGGCAGGCAGAGCCGGGGGCGCGGGGGTGGGCAGTCGGCTGGGTGCTGGGTGGGGCCAGCACAGGCGAGGCGGGTGACAGGCTTGCCAGCAGGACGGAGATGCTGCGGCAGGAGCAGCGGCTGCACAGCGGTGTGCCAGCTGGCGGCTGCCAGCTCAGCTCACCCAGGGGCAGTAGTGGTCGAAAGCCTCCACGCACCGGCCTGTCACGGGGCAGTGCTTGGCGCGCAGCGGCCGCACGATGCGGCACGACACGCACAGCTGGCCCCAGTGCCCCGCTGCCAGCGCCAGGTTCTCCAGCACCGCGCTGCCGCTGCGCCCGCCCGCGCGGCTGCCCGCCGTGGGGCTGCTGCGACCGTGCTGCTGCTTGCCGTTGCTGTCCCAGCGCTGCAGCGCGATGCCGCCCTTGCTGGCCCCGCTGCCGCCGCTGCCGCCGCCGCTGCCGCCGCCGCCGCCGCTGCTCTGGTCCAGGGGGATGTAGCCTGGGTCGGCACAGGTGGTGAGGTACAGAAAGTACAGCCCTCCCGAAGCCAGCAGCACCGTCAGCCACGCCCCCGCCACTGTCAGCTGCAGCACATGGGGGGAGGAGGAGGGGGGGGCATGGGCAGCAGCGGGGAGCAGCAGCAGCGGGCGGCCCGCCTCCAACTCTCTGGCCAGGCGCGGGGCGAAGCATGCTGGGCTGTGCCCGCTGCCGCGCTGGCTGCTCTTGGCGCCGTCCTGCATACGCACGGCATCCTGAAGCGCGGCCAGCCCTGGCCTGGCCTGCCCAGCCCTGCCCGGCCCTGCCCGGCCGTGTCCCCACCTGGCTGGCTGGCGGGAAGGCTGAGTTCTGGACGATGGTGTATGCCATCATGGCCACCATTCCCAGAATGATGCCCCAGATGATGGGAGACAGGTGCATGCGGGTGAGCAGGCCCAGGGGGCCGCTGCCGGTGCGCTTCTTGTCCTGCGGCGGCGGCCACGGGGGAGGCGGGCAGGCGGGGAGGGCGCACGTTGGCGAGCCGCGGCAGCACGCATACCTGGGCAGAGCGGGGAGGGCCCACATTGCAGCAGCCCGGCCTCACCCATTTAAGCCCTCTCGTCCCGCTGACACCACCTCACTCACCCCCCGCACGACAACGAATCGCCCCCTTGGCCACGCCTCCCCCACCTTGCCCCACCTTGCCCACCCCTCCAGCCCACCTGCCGGTACTTGTACTCCGCCAGGTGCAGGCCCAGCAGGCGGTGCCCCTTCTCGATGGCCAGCTGCGAGGGGGTGCTGCCGGTGCTGTCCGCCAGCGCCAGCACCTCCTCCGCGCCGCCCTGCGGGCGGGAAAGCGAGTGCACGGGAGCCAGGCGGGTGGGCAGGGATGCAGCAGCGGTGCCCCGGCGGCTGCTGGAGGCTCAGGCTGCTGCAAGTCGGTGGCTGGGCCGGACAGGGGGCTGCACGGTAGCAGAGGCAACCGCGCCGCCCCTCCCTCCCCGCCCCAGCGACACCCAGCTCCGCCACCGACCTGCAGCAGCACCGTGCATGCCTCGGTGTGGCCGCGGATCGCGGCCCAGTGCAGCGGCGTGCAGCCCTCCTTGTCGGGCAGGTTGCACCGCGACGCCAGCACCAGCAGCAGGCGTATCGTGTCTGCGTGCAGCCGGGGGGCAGCGGCACAGCTCAGATTGCCTGGTTGGCAGCGCGGCATAGGGACAGGCGCACTCGTCCACGCCGGCATCCAGGCCCCCTCCCCACCCTCCCAGCCCAGCGCCCCCTGCCCCACCTGCAAACCCCTTGTAGGCGGCCCAGTGCAGCGGCGTGCGGCCGTCGTTGTCCAGCGTGTCGACCTCGGCGCTCCACTTGAGGGCCAGATGGTACAGGATGGCGGTCTGGCCGTACTGCGCCGCCACGTGGCACACCGTGTAGCCGCTGCGGTACGGGCACGCGCGCATGGCCGGCAGACACGGGAGCGGGCAGGTGAGGCGGAGCAATCGGCTGCGAAAGACGCTGCGCGGGCGATGCGCCCGCGACGGCAGCCCGGCGCTGCCTTGCAGCACGGGTCCTGCCCGAACGCGGGCCGGCGGCGGCGGCAGGACAGCAGGCGCAGCGTGCGCACCGCGAGTCCTGCGCGCCCAGGTCGGCCCCCGCCCGCAGCAGCGTCTCCATGGCGGCGGTGCCGCCGCGCACCGCAGACCAGTGCAGCGCCGTCTGGCCCGTGCCGTCTGCCACGTTCGCGTCGCAGCCCTTGTCCAGCAGGTAGGTCAGCACCGCCACGCGGTTGTTCAGCGCGGCCCACTGCAGCGCGTAGAAGCCCTGCTCGTCGGGGCGGTGCAGCGCGTCGGGCTCCGCCTCTGCCAGCTCCCGCAGCTTCTCAAAGTCGCCAAAGGCGGCGGTCTTCCACACTGAAAGCGCAAGCGTGCGGCCGCGGGCGGGGGGCGGCAAGGCGGTCAGTGGGGGCGGCGGCAGCCAGCGGGGGCGGCGGCAGCCAGGGACCCAGGTCAGGGGCGGCAGTCAGGGCCGGGCTGCTCGCCCGAGAAGCGGCGATCATGGCGACGCAGGGGCTGGGCCGGGGAGGCATCCCGGGACCCATGCAGCGACTCTGCTCACCAGTATCGATCGGTTCTTGCGCCATGGCCGCCGGCCGGGGCCTGCCCGGGCCGCTTGGCTTCAAGTTGCGGGCCTGCCGGCTCCCGCTCTTACTTCGAAGTTCTGAGGAGAAGAGGTTGTCACCGATGGATTTCCAAAGCGCTGCCACCAACTGTTCTAGGCCGGGTGGCGCCACATCACCGCCGCCGGCCTGCCTCCAAGAATCTCCTTTTGCTCGTTCAAAGCATGAATGGCTCCAAAGCGATGCTATATGATTGCGTGTGCCTCTGGTCGTGCAAGGCATCCCTCTCCAAGTGGTCTGGCGCTTGCCCTGCCTCCGCCGCTACCGAGCGCTGCCATCGCGATCGGCCACGGTGGTGCAGCACGTGCATGCAATGATCTGCCGACTCCTTGTCCATCTGCAGCCAAGGCCTGTGATTTTAGGTTGTTTGAAGCTAGGACATTTCCCTCCGCATCAGTTCAAAGCCTGGGGCCGCTTGCATCCGGTTGACATGCTTTCAGTGGTGCCGCACCAGCGGCTGGTTGCGGTCCGTGTGTGGCAGAGACGGAAGGTGGTGGCACTTGCAGGTTCATCGGTACGCCAGCAAACGGTACGCCAGCGAACGGCGCACCGTGTTCGCTGGCGGGCTGCCGCAAAGCCCCCCCCCCCCCCCGGCGGGACCAGATCTGGTGGAGGGGGTGCTGTGCATTCATGGCCATGGTGCTTTCAGCGCTTAGCGCTGGCTGGGGAGCAGTCAGATGACAGATGTCAGCCATCTAGCCGGCAAGCAGTGAAACAGATCGGCAGGGAGGGGAAGGGGCACGGTGCAGCGCAAGCCCATCACAGCTGCAGCAGCGGTGCCGAGACGCTCACTGGCGCCATGCCAACAGCCCTTTGCCGCACGCCTCGGCTAGAGTGGCTGGCCCACTCTGTTGCCTGCTGGGCACGGTGCGTCTCATGCTCGCCAGCATGAAGCTCCAACAGGTTCTGCGGATGCGACTTACACGTACCTCGTGTTGTGGAAGTGATGGAAAACCAGCATGCCACACAAATGCATCGGCTCGAGCTGGAAGGGACGCTATTGGGGAGTGAGATTGCCAACTCTATCGCATGGCAACTCTATCGTGCGGCCGAGGTGCAGCTAATGCACGCACTGTCCACCCCACTCCTTGTCCATCTGCAACCAGGGCGCGTAGCAGAGGAGAGTCGATGTCAGAGCAGGCGTGCTGGCCTTCGAGCTGCTCTGCCCTACATGCATGTCCAGCCCTCCACCCACCTTTGCGTAGAAGCAGCGCGGGTGCCTCAGGCGCTCCTCCAGCATGCCCGCTGCTTTGTGCACTGCGGTGGGGAAGGCAACCCAGTCGATGATGGCGCCCAGCCCACATTGCTGCATTGGAGGGTGGAGCACCGTCCGGCCGCGGCTGCTCCAGGCTCCCGATTGCCCCGGGACCGCGCCACGAGAGCAACACAGCTCCCCCTGCCGCATACCTGGGTGCGCGGTGTCCTCGTTATACTGCCGGGCATTGCTCACAATCAGCTCCATATCTGCCCTGAACTCCGCTGGTTTGCGGTACTGCCCGCGCTCAGCCTTGCCTGCAAAACGAGCGGCGGATGGCAGCAACCCGCTTGCTGCCAGCGGCTGGCAGCAGCAAGCGAGGCTGCATGCACCACAAGGCACCAGGCTGGCATAGTGCCTGCAGCTGCCAGCAGTGCTGGAAAGCTGCCAATTGCAAGGAAGACATGTGCACAAGCGTGGCTGCCCGACACGCCGCCGTCGCGCTGCAGCTGCACCGCTGCCCACCCTTCATCGTCCCGAAATCCATGGGGTGCTTGATCACTGCGTGGTAGCCAGGCGCCTCTGCCTCTGTCACAGGCATGCGGAAGCAGTAGAAGTCGGAGTGGAGGCCGCCTGGTGGGCCCACAAAGTCCACAATGCTCCTGCAGCAAGGGCGCACACAAGGGCGGCAGCTGGAGCGAGCCGGCACGAGCGACAGGGCGCACGGCTGGGCTCCAGTGACAGCGGTGCAGGCACAGGGCACGGGAGCCATGGCAGCTGGTAGTGCGCCGGTGTCAGGGCCGTGCCGTTCTCACATGTTCAGCCATGCGCGTTTGTCCTCTGCCGCCCCTGCAAACTCGGGGCCTGCCTGCAGACAGACAGGGTGTGAGCAGGGTGGGAAGGTACCAGCAGGTTGCGACGTGCGGCCTGCTGCCCAGCACCGCAGGTTGGTGGCCCCAGCTCACAAGGATGTGCGCAGCGCCTGTGGTGCTCATGCTCCCCTGGGTTGCGGGTGGGGCTCTGGACGCCTGCAGGCAGCATGCTGAGCGATTTCGAGGCAGTGGTGCACTGCTGGGCACGGAGAGGTTGGCACAGCCACAGGCCTGCTCACCAAGAACGCTGCCAGGTTGCGTGTGGTCAGGCTCTGCTCGGGCACCCGCACCGGCGCTGCTGCTGCTGCATCTATGGAGCATGGGGCTGCTGCTGGCAGCGGAGGAGCAGGCATTGGAGCGGCCTCCATGTCTTCGTCTGTGAGATCCACCAGTTCCACAGCATTCTCCCGCACAGCATTGTTCGGCAGCAGGTTGCCACCGGCATTGCTGGCAAAGGAAGCCGCCGGCTGAGGCGTCGCCAGCAGCGCCTGCGCCACTTGCTGCTGCTGGGGCCGAGGCGGAGATCGCGGAGGCGGCCGTGCCTGCTGCTTCTGCTGCTGCTGCTGCTGCTGCTGCTGCTGCAGGTCTGTCGTGCGAAGCTGTCGCGTCGGGTCTGCCATGTCTTCTGCCTCTGGCCTGGCGGCTGGAGACGACGCCGAGTTGGTGGCACCACGCTGCCGCAGTTGTTCCGCCCGTGCTTCAGCGCACTCCGCCCGGCCCTCTGCCCGGCGCGCCGCCTCCAGCTGCTGCTGCTGCTGCAACGAGTGGTCGTTCTTGTGCTGCTGGAGCATCACCCGGTGATGGGCCATCACCTGTTGCAACCTGGCATTCCCCCGCCGCAGGCTGGCATTGTCTGCTAGCAGCTGTTCCGCCTCCGCTTCAGCGCACTCAGCCCAGTCCTCTGCCTGGCGCGCCGCCTCCAGCTGCAGCTGCGTCTGCGCCTTGAACTGCGCCTGATCAGCGGACCTGTATCTTCAGCTGTGCTGCCAGCTGGTCCGATTCAGACTTCTCCTCCTGAAGCTCCCGGCTGTACCGCGCTGCCGTCTGCTCCGCGTGGGCGGCCCGCTGCAGCGCCAGCTCCAGCGCCCTCTGCTGCGCTTGCAGCAGCTGCTGGTCGGCGCTCTGCGCCTGCAGGTCCGCCTGAAACGCCGCCTCGCGAGCCTGCCGCCGCTGCGTCTCCATGCCCTCCCGCTCTGACGCCTGCCAGGCCACCTCCTTCAGCCATTGTTCAAGCTTGGCCTGGTCATCCTGCAGGACTAGGCAGGCAGCGCAATTGATCAGGACTCTGGAGCTTTTTTGCAACGGTGAAGGGCAGGGTCGGCGGGCGGGCGGGCGGGCGGGCGGCCACCTGCCCCAGGCCATGTGGCTGCCGTTTACTGGCCACAATTTACATGTGCACGTGCCACTGCTGCTTCTGAACGCGCCTGGTCCATGGGTGCTTTGCGGTCTGAGTCCCAGGGACTCGCGAGCGTGAACTGGGCCCAGCCGGCAGGATCACTCAGAACCACGGCGCTTTTGTCTCTCTGAGTCAGCAACACCGCCGGAAGCTCGCCACCGGGCGTAGCGGCAGAGGTGGTTCGCACAGAGTGGTGATGGGAGGTCCGACGACGTCTAGAATGAACCAACCAGCCGTGTCAGAGGAGCAGAGGAGCAGAATGCAAGTTAGAAGCACCACAGAGTGAGCAGTAGTGGCGCATGTGTTGCCCCCTGATGTGGCACCCTCCCGATTGGGCAACCCCCGCCCCCGCTCGCTCCTGGCAGCCCGCGCGGCGCTCCCCTCCCATACGTGAACTGACCCCATAGAGCCATGTTTGAGGGTTGAGCGGGGCGGAGCGGGGCTGCTTGCACACGTGATGGCATGCACGCTTCAACGCTCCCGCTGTCATCTCACCTCTCTAGCGTCAGAAATACAACTCTTACAAGCCAACCAACACGAACAGAGAGACCGAACAACAGAAATGAACAGGAAATATGAAGCCGCCACAGGCGGCAGCACCTTTCAGCGGAGACGGCAAAGCGTACAAGGCACACTTCTTCAATGGTTCTTGCAATTGCCACCCTTACCGGTTATACAGCCACAGTGCCGCCCACACCGCGCACCATTCTTCTTGCAGCTGCAGTTCCGGGTGCAGGCGCCGCGGCAGCCGCAGCGCACGGCTGCCTTGCCGCCGCCGGGCTGCGCCGCCATCGCCACATTGAGAGACACCACAGGCACTCCTCGCTGCGCCGTGCCGCTGAAGGTCAGCTCGCTGGCCAGGCTGGGTGGCGCCTTAGATAGCCTGCTGGCCTGATGCATACCCTCCACCACTCCAGCTCCGCTCCGCAGCCGGTACATGGTCACGCCAAAGGGCCGCTTGATCTCCACCACGCGGCACACGATGCGGTTGCGGCCCAGCTGCTTGCCCACT